TCCAATAGTGGGGTTTCACACAGCCCCCAAATGTCTTTCTGTCCCTACCTATCCCTTTCCTCCCTGGTCCTTTACAGGACACCCACTGCTCTTTACTTAGTAACTCTACTCCAACCCGCCTTCTTGGCAGAGATTTGTTTGGAAAAATATCATGTAGGAATCTCTTTCTCCTGAAAGGGGGAAATATTTTAGACTTTGGTAAATCGGGTCAAGCTGGCTGACTCCAGAGCCCCCTCTCTCCTAATCCCCTTGTTTACTATATTGTTCCCCATTCAGATAAAAAATGCCTAACTCACTTCCTTCTACTGGGTTAAATACTATCTCTCTATTTTGTTTTTAATTTTTATGGATTCATAATAGTTGTACATATGTATGGGGTACATGTGATATTTTGATACAAGTATGTATAATGATCAAATCAGGGTAATTGGGATATCCATTACTTCAAACATTTACCATTTCTTTGTGGGGGAACATTCCAATTTCATTCTTTCAGTTATTTCAAAATGCAGAATAAATTATTGTTAACCATAGTGACCCTGTTGTGCCACTGGACACTAGATTTTTTTCCTTCTATCTTACTAGATATATGCATCTTAATGGACAAAATTATCAATATATGTAGGCATGTACCCCATATTAAGATTCAGTTTGACCCATTGAAACTTCTGCCCAGGATTAACCAGTACTCTTTAAGCAAAGAAGCTCTATTGGGCATTAAAGCCATCATTGAAGAGTAGAAGGCAAAGGCTCATTATCTCATGTACCAGCCTTTGTAACAACCCAATCCTGCCTGTAAAGAGCCTGATGTCTGTGGGTGGAGATTTGTTTAAGGCCCTCACATGATAGACAATGTTGCTGTACCCCCACCGGGCATCCCAGCCCTGTCCTTGCTCATCCTGATTCCAGCCAGGAGCACATGCTCCATGGTTATTGCTCTGTGCAGTGTGTTCTTCAGTATCCTAGTCAACCAAGCCAGCCAATACCTTTTTTCCTTCTCTTGGGGAGGCCAACAATATACCTGTACAGTCCTGCTCAAGATTCACTGAAAACTCCTCTTACTTTTCACAAACTCTAAAGGCCAATGTACAGGATGTTTATTTCCCTCAACAATTGACTCTACTGCAGTGTGGTGACCTCCTCCGTTCTCCCTGGCAGGCAGCATATCAGGAAGATAGTGTACATGTATTAAAACTTTTAGCTACCAAAGGTCATAAAGTTTCTGAACTTTATGTCTAGGATGTTACAACTGGTAAAACCCCAAGTAAAATATTTTGGCTATTTAATTTCAGAAAGTGGACTACACTTAGATGCAGACTGATAAAACGTGTCTTACATGCTGGGCGTGGTGGCTCACGCCTGTAATCCTAGCACTCTGGGAGGCCGAGGCAGGCGTATTGCTCGAGATCAGGAGTTTGAAACCAGTCTGAGCAAGAGCGAGACCCCATCTCTACTATAAATACAAAGAAATTATATATATATAGAAAAAATTACCCGGGCATGGTGGCACATGCCTGTAGTCTCAGCTACTCGGGAGGCTGAGGCAGAAGGATTGCTTGAGTCCAGGAGTTTGAGGTTGCTATGAGCTAGGCTGACGCCACGGCACTCACTCTAGCCTGGGCAACAAAGTGAGACTCTGTCTCAAAAAAAATAACTAAAAAATAAAAGGTGTCTTACATTTTCTCAACCCCAAACTAAGCACCAATTCCTTTAGGCATTCTCAGAGACTCTACTGCAAAGGATATTGCTACACAACAACACTCATTAACTTCTCTTGCCAGGGTAGTATAAGATAACAGCATTGACTCTAATTAGCTCTTTGCTAAACAAGGTGGTGTCTGTGCTATTGTTGATGCCAGATGCTGTTCCTGGATGAATTTGTCTGGGGAAGTTGAGAACCAATTACATGAAATAAGAAAATAGCACATGGCTACAACAGGGCTGACCCAGCTCCCCATGGTCATTTGATTTGTTTAGTTGGTTACCTTCGGGCCTTGCATCATGACTCAAAACTATGGTGCAAACTGGGATTATCATATTACTGTTATTTTTCCTCAGTGTTATGCCATCAAAACTTTGTCTTCATTGCCTATTAAATTTCTGCAAAAGTACAAAGTAATGCTGGCCTAGCATTTTGAGATGATGGCCAACACCAATGAATAGAAAAAATTAACCTTAACAATGAAATCGGGCTGGGCGCAGTGGCTCACGCCTATAATCCTAGCACTCTGGGAGGCCAAGGTGGGCGGATTGCTCGAGTCAGGAGTTCAAAACCAGCCTGAGCAAGAGCGAGACCCCATCTTTACTATAAATAGAAAGAAATTAATTGGCCAACTAATATATATATATAGAAAAAAATTAGCTGGGCATGGTGACGCATGCCTGTAGTCCCAGCTACTCAGGAGGCTGAGGCAGCAGGATTGCTTGAGCCCAGGAGTTTGAGGTTGCTGTGAGCTAGACTGATGCCAGGGCACTCACTCTAGCCTGGGCAACAAAGCAAGACTCTGTCTCAAAAAAAACCAAAACAATGAAATCTAGGCAGACTAAGTCTGAGAGCGTCTTGTGGCCCCCTTGTTGTCAAATATGGCTAAAAAGGTTTTGTCATTGAGTATTAATTGTTAGCCTCGGCCCCCCATCCCGACATGGGACCAGACCAACCAGAACAGGTCCATCTTGGCATTGAGGGACAATCAAATCTGACTTTAAAATAATTGTTCAGGCTGGGCACAGTGGCTCACATCTGTAATCCCAGCACTTTGGGAGGCTGAGGCAGGAGGATCACTTGAGGCTAGGAGTTCAAGACCAACCTGGACAACATAGTGAGACCCTGTCTCTACAAAACATTAAAAAATTAGCTGGTCATGGTGGTACATGCCTGAGTCTCAGCTACTCAGAAGAAGGCTGAGGTGGGAGGATTGCTTGAGCCCAGGAGTTGGAGGTTACACAGTGAGCTATGATCATGCCACTGCACCCCTTGAATGATAGCGCAAGACCCTGTCTCTGGAAAAAGATGGATCAGCAATGCTTTCAGAGAAAGATCTTGATCAAAAGGGGGAAATGTGTGAAAGTTGCTGGTATGAAAATGGAATCACTTATGTCAAACTCTAAAAACATGGAGCTGGGGGAGGCTGTGAAGAAGCCCTCAGGCACACAGGCCTGGAAGGGGACTTATCACAACAAACTCCACAAGGTCACCCTAATCCTACAGGCCCTCTGCGTCCTGGGGCCTCTGGTGCTAGGACAGGTTGTCCATGCTTGGAAGAAGGCCATCTTACGCCATCCATCTTGGCCATCCTGGTCATTTTTGTGAGTCAAAGACACATGTGAAAAAGCAAACTTTAAACCCTTAGAAGAAAATACAGAATAATTTAGAATACAGAAAATATAGGGCCGGGCGCTGTGGCTCACGCCTGTAATCCTAGCTCTTGGGAGGCCGAGGCGGGCGGATTGCTCAAGGTCAGGAGTTCAAAACCAGCCTGAGCGAGACCCTGTCTCTACTATAAAAATAGAAAGAAATTAATTGGCCAACTGATATATATATAAAAAAAAATTAGCCGGCATGGTGGCGCATGCCTGTAGTCCCAGCTACTCGGGAGGCTGAGGCAGAAGGATCACTCGAGCCCAGGAGTTTGAGGTTGCTGTGAGCTAGGCTGACGCCACGGCACTCATTCTAGCCTGGGCAACAAAGCGAGACTCTGTCTCAAAAAAAAAAAAATAAAAAAAAAAATATAGAATACTTTCTGGACTTTCTCAGAGGGAAATATTTCTTTTTTCTTTCGTTTTTTTTTGAGACAGAGTCTTGCAGTCTTGCTTTGTTGCCCAGGCTAGAGTGAGTGCCATGGAGTCAGCCTAGCTCACAGCAACTTCAAACTCCTAGGCTCAAGCAATCCTGCTGCCTCAGCCTCCTGAGTACCTGGGACTACAGACATGCACCACCATGCCCGGCTAATTTTTTGTATATATATTAGTTGGCCAATTAATTTTCTTTCTATTTATAGTAGAGACGGGGTCTCGCTCTTGCTCAGGCTAGTTTTGAACCTCTGACCTCGAGCAATCCGCCCACCTCGGCCTCCCAGAGTGCTAGGATTATAGGCGTGAGCCACCTCGCTGGGCCAGGAAAGATTTCTTAAACAAGACATGAAAAGTACAAACAGTAAAGAAAAAGGTACAAACAATAAGAAAAGGTACAAACAATAAAGAAAAAACATTAAAACCTAAGCAAAGGAAAAGGCAAGCTCAAACCTGGACCCCAAATCAACCCATTTAACCCAAAGTTGTCCCTGCCCAGACTCCACACAGAAGGTCTGTCTCTAATCCACAAAGACAGCCTGAAAGAAAAAGTGGCCGGGAACTCAGTAGGTCTGTTTTCCCAAGAGAAGCCGCAGTGGAGATCTGTTCCCTGTGCCACCTGCCTGCCCACTTCGAAGGGCTAGTACAACGAGATGAGAAGAGACCAGCAGCCTGTGGCCCAGCCTGGCCTTGTCGCTGCAGGCAGAGAAGCTGTTCCCCCAATAGTGCTCACAGTGCTATAATATCCTCATCTTCCGCAGTAAGACCTACTATGACATGCCAGTGCTGCATGGTGTCACCCAGTGCATGGAGGAGGACGAGTTCTCCTACCAGGGGTGATGCCAACCTGCCTTTCTGCAGCCACCTCAGCCCACAAAGGTGCTGATCCTCTCAGGCAGTGACAGGGCATTCTGCAAGAGGTGAAGCACCTGCCATGGAGTCCATGGTCCAGTGGGAAACTGAGGAGGTTGTCATCTAAGCCTCTAAGAAGTTCCTCCTGGGCATGGCCAGTGGCTACTCTACCTCAAAGCTGATTCTACACATGGGCGACAGTTTTGGGTTCATGAAACAGAACCAGGATGCCTTCAATGTTATTAGCACTGATTCCTCAGACCCCACGGGCCCCCCTGAAAGCCTCTTCAAGGAATCCTATCACCAGCTCATGGAGATTGCCCTCAAGGAGGGTGGCAGGGTGCATGCCAGTGGCTCACCTGGACCTCATCAAGGAGATGCCGCAGTTCTGCAAGTGGCTCTTTCCCATGGTGGGCTACTCCTCCTGCACCATCCCCACCTACCCCAGCGGCTAGATGGATTTCGTGCTGTGTAGCAAAAACCTGAATGTCAACTTCCAGGAGCCTATGCAACAACTGACACAGAAGCAGGTGGAACAGATGTAGGGAGCCTTTGTACTACCCGAGTTTGCCCGCAAGGCCCTGAGTGATGTGAGCCGAGCCCAAGTGCCATCACCGGCATCACCCAGAATCTGGGACCAGAGAGCCTCCAAGGGGCCTGGGCTTCTCTAGCCTTGGACCAGACCTACTGGCTCTTGCCCACCAAGCAAGCATTATAGGCCCTGGAATGCTGCCTGGCTTGCCCTCCTGGGTGGACCATCTGTGTTTGTCTCTGTGTAGCATTCAGCCTCCAAACCTATACCAGCTGTGTACAGCACTGTCTCTCTGCCTTTGTTGCTCCCCCACCCCCGCCCACCAAACATTTGTATTTATAACAAAAAAAAGGAGAGAAGCCCAAGTGGTGAATACGTAGGGACATGGTGGTCCCTCTCTGTGGTGGCCGGGGAGGAGAGGGCCTGGCACTCACTGCAGACCAGCCAAATGCCCAACCTGGATCCCTCCTCTGTGTTTTCTATAGCCTGCCACACACGGTGGCACAGAGATACGCATTTCAATATGTTCGCAGATGTGTCATCCTCCACGCCCTTCCACGAAGGAGGCTGAGGGGATGACATCCGGGGATTGTGTGGGAAAGAGCCTGGGGCTTGAGTCCCCAGTAACCAGGCCCACCACTGCTCAGAGGCTCCCCCAGGGACCCTGGAGAACATGGACAGCACAGGGGAAAGCATCCCTGGGAGCCATCGTTGGAGGCCACCCTGGTGGCCCAGAGGGAGAGCTGCCTGGCTGTGTTCTGAGGCCGTGCCTTGGGGCTAACTCCCTGAGCTCTTGCTGGCCATGTGGGCTGAGCACTGTGCTTCCTCCAACCCCTTGGATTCCGGCACGTTTGGCCTGCCTGGAGTCCATGGCCCCTCAAGGGTCCCTTATGAACCAGCGTGCCCCCATCCCTGCAGGCCCCTCTGGCGCTGTGTGGGAGACAGACAGCCACACACCTGGATGATCTTCTCCGGAATGTTGGAGACGGTGAAGCCGTAGAGGCGCACACGCTCTGGGAAGATGCTGGACAGGATCCTGCGGTCCAGCTGGAAGGCGATCTCCCCCACCAGCCTCTCCCAGGCAAGCTGCTTCGACTCTGGGGACAGCAAAGGGTCTCTCAGCTGAGCCACTGGTGGAGGGGGTGGCAGGGGAGATGGCCTTGGGGGGCGCTCCCAGGACTCCTGCTGAGCCCCTGCAGGTCACTAACCTCGGCTACTTTCAGGGAACTTGTTGATCTTGCGGTGAGCCAACTTCCGATCCAACTCCGTGGCACTTTTCCGAGGCTGTTCTGTGGTGCGTGGACTCCGGGCGTCGTTAACCGTAGCCGGGGAGGATGAGGTGCGAGGCGGGGAGCAGGGGGTGCGTGAAGGAGAGTGGTGGGCGGGCGGGGTCCGGGTGGGGGAGTGCTGCATCCGTGCCATGTGGGGTGTGTTCAAGGGGGTGCAGCTCGTGGCAGCTTGGGAGGCAAGGTTGGGGGCTGAGGCAAGCACAGTGACAGTGGGGGAGATGGTGGAGGTGGGGACAGAGGCAGGGACCATTTGTCCCTGGGGGTAGCCGGAATGGACCCGGGCATCTGTAGTGCCATAGGAGAAGGCCGTTGGGGGGCCAGGTGCGCTCATGGTGCCCACGGGGGTGGAGGTCTGCAGAGGTGTGCCCACAAACGTCATGCTGAGGGACTCTGGGTCCTGGGCTGGCCGGGGGTTCTCAGTGGAGAGTGGGGCTGGTGATTGGGAGGGGCAGAAATGAAAGGAGGGGGGATTAGAGCGAGGGGGGAGGGGCCCACCCGGGGAGGGCCCCCCCGACCCTGGCACTCTGTGCCTGGCCCCCCCCACCTGTTACCTTTGGAGGTGGCAGCAGGCACCATGCAGGGTCCGTGGGGCACCGAGGGGCACGTGCGGAGTGTCTCTGTCAGCCGCACCATCGGGGGCTCTGACAGCACCAGGTTGTTCATGGGGTTGGCCATAAGGTTCTGTGAGATGCCTAGAGGGGCAGCTGTGGAGCTGAGCAGGGGGCTGCTCAGAGAGACGGCCACTGGGCCTGCCACGGAGGCCATCAGGGGGCTGCTCTTAGATACGGCCACGGGGCCTCCCAGGGGACTGCTGGGAGTCAGGGACCCGGTAGAGGGCAGGCCCAGGGAGTTGGCCAGGGGGCCGGTCAGGGGGCTGCTCAGGGGCCCAGTTGAGGGCAGGCCCAGGGAGCTGGCCAGGGTACCCCCAGGGGGCACGGCCAGGGGGCTGCCCAGGAGGTTTGTGAGGGGGCTGCTCTGTGGCATAGGCACCGGGCTGGGCAGCAGGGTGTTGAGTGGGCCCACCAGGGGGGTCACGAGGGAGCCTGCCGTGGGGCCGGGCTGCGGGCTGCTCAGCATTTCAGTCAGGGGTGCCAAGGCCACAATCCCCACTTCTTCCAGGACTGGTTCGTTTGCTGCTGCTGGGGACGGGGGCAGGAAGACACCTGAGGGACACAGAGAAAGCACTGAGACCCCACATGAGCCCCTTCAGGATGATGGGGTGCAGTCATGGGCTGTCCCATGGTGGCAGAGCCTGGCCAAGGTGTCCATCTGCCTCTGATGAGCAACTGGTCTCACCTGACCACTCTGAGCCTCACTTCCTAGGTGGGCTGGGGCGGTGACCTCTCTACCCCGAGGGCAGTCTGTGGGGTGGGGAGAGGACGCTCTTTGCTGGGCTCAGAGGACCCTGGATGTGGGCCTGCCTGCCTACCCTTCCCCCCGCCTGCCAACAGCCTCATCTCCGGTCCTGACTCTTTGGTCAGCCCACTCAGGCTTCCCTCTCTGATCACCTGCCCCTGAGCCACACAGGGACATTCCTCAACCCTCCACTCGATTGTGCCCCCTGCACCAAGTGGCTCACTCCCACCCAAGAGAGTAGAGTCTCACAGCCACTGGACCCTCAGGTCGCCAAGGTGGCCCTTCTGTTCTCTGGTGGGGAGGAGGGGGCCCCAGCCTCCTGACCACCATCCTGGAGGGAGAGATAAGCCTCTCCAGGTGGGGGCCCCTTCAAGGGGTCAGGGCCACAGCAGTCAGACCCCCTCTCGGCCCAGCACCGGCACATGGTCCCTGCCCTGCAGTGCTCCATGTGGCCACCTGAGGGGGAAGTGATGGTGCAAGAGGGCAGGTCAGACCTAGCCACACACCTGGAGAGGCCCAGACTCACTGCTTTATACTCCTAGAGCCCTGCCTGGGGGCCTGTTCTCTGGTCCTGGAGGAGTGTTTCCTTCATGTTTGGGGGAGAAGCCCCTCGAAGGAACAGCTGCTGGTGGAGGGGGCAGTGGAGGGACAGTTTTTGTGAATACGCAATTTAATTGACAACTTCCACTTTTGTTGCAAAAGCAGTACCTGCTTATTATAGGGAAAGAATGGAAACGTAGAAAAGTAAAAAAGGATAAAGAACTGCAGTCATCCCATGGCTAATCACTATTGAAAAGCCCTGTTGCCTTGGAGACTTCCTCTACATATTTATATAGACCTGGCGTTGGTGGGCGTCTTCTGTAAAGGGTCAGGTGGTAAATATTGCCAGCTTTGCAGGCCATATGTGGGCTCTGTCGCAGCCACTCAAGTCTGCATTGTAGCAAGACGGCAGACACAGACAATCGGAAGTGAGTGGAGGATGGGTGTCAATAAAACTTTATTTCTGGACATGAGTTTTTGAATTTCACATACTTTGCATGTGTCACAACACAATATTCTTCTTTTGATTTTCTTCCCACCATTTAAAAATGTAAAATTCATTCCTTATTCACAGGCTATACACAAACTAGTGGTGGCCGCATAGATCTGTCTTTTTGTACTTTGGCTCCTCTTACTGGACCCACGCACAGCCACACCTAGCATCCTCATTCTTTGAAAACAGTGTTTGTCGTGGCTGCAGAGATTTCTGTCTCATGGATATGCCATTGTTTACTGAGCTATTCCCATTGTTGAGCATTTAAATAGATTCCAATGTTCCCAATGACAAACAATCCTATTATGTAAATCTTTATAATTGATTTTTTTTCCTGGAAATGGACATTTTAGAGGTTCTTGATGCACACTGCCAAATCTCTCTTCTTTAGATCCCTCAGGAGCATCCTGACACTCCCCTGGGCTTGTCACTTCAATCTCTGCCAAAGCTAACACTGCATAATATGTGGCAAGATGTTTAGCTGCTTTAATTGTCTTTTAAGGTGTTTTTTTCCCGGCATATTATGGGGGTACAGATTTTAAGGTTTCAATAAATGCCCTTTCCCCTCCTCCCCCCACAAGTCTGAGTTTCCAGCATGACCATCCCCCAGATGGTACACATCTCACTCATTATTATGTATGTATATACCCGCCCCCCTGCCCAATACCCTATTACTGTAGTACCTATGTGTCCAGTTAGGTGCTGCTCAGTTTGCTGGTGAGTATATGTGGTGCTTGTTTTTCCATTATTGGGATACTTCACTTAGTAGTATGGGTTCCAGCTCTAACCAGGAAAATATAAGATGTGCTATATCACCATTGTTTCTCAAAGCTGAATAAGTACTCCATGGTATACATATACCACATTTTATTAATCCATTCTTGGATTGATGGGCACTTGGGCTGTTTCCACAGCCTTGCAATTATGAATTGTGCTGCTATAAACATTCGTCTTTTAAGTTTTAAGTGTTGTTTTCCAAACAAACCATTAGATTGCATAATCTAATCAACATTTCTTTCTTTTATCATTTCTTGCTTTGTTTTAGTGTCCAAGAGATGATAGAGCTTGTGGGCCAGGGGGAGGTAGCCTGTGGAGAGAGAAGCCGGAGCTTGGTGGGAGGACAGAGGGATGGACAGGAGTGTTTCGGTGGAGGATGGAGATGGGCATGTGGATGTCTGTCCTGTTGGCCTCTGTTTCCCCTGGGAGAGCCTAGGGTCTGGTGCCGTGGGAAAGGGCCACTTGGGTGGCATTTTTAGGATGGTAGGAGGGGACAGTCACTGCTCATTGTCCCTAAATGGCCTGGGCAGCCCAGGGAAGTCCTATTGGTTGGAGCAGCCAGGCAAGGCAAGAAGACAGAATAAAGGTTTCGCCTTGGTGCCTGCTCCGGGAAGATAACTGTGGTGGAGTGACTGGCCCGTCAGGGCTGAGAGGCAGAGGAGTGCTGGGCAAGCCTTGGCCATCTCTCTAGAAGAACATGGTCCAGTTTGCCCTTTGACTAAGTTGTATTCCAGGCCAAATCATGTTTTGGTATTTCTTCACCAAACCATCAAACATGACAAAGAGGGTAACTTTATGACCACAAAAGGTGCAATTCACAAAAAGTACCATGTTTCCCCGAAAATAAGACCTACCCATAAAATAAGCCCTAGCAGAATTTCTAAGCCTTTGCGCAATATAAGCCCTACCCCGAAAGTAAGACCTAGTGTTGGGTGTGGCTGCGCAGAGTATCTGCACAACCCTTGCATTTCATCGCTGAGCGGTAAAGAAGACGAGCAGCCCTTCTCATCTGCCCCATGAGAGCTCTATTGCTCGACATGAGAGATTAGGGCCAATGTTTCTTTTTTTTTTTTTTTATTTTTTTTTTATTTTAGCCACATGCACCGGAGTGGAAAGGGCCAATGTTTCTAAAGGAAATAGAATTGCAAGAAATTCAGGATGGAATTCGGGCTTTGGAGAGTTATGATGATGTTCCAGAAGAAGATGACTTAACTATATTTGAATCAATGTAGATTGTTGCACTGTACTTAAAAAAAATAACACATCCCCTGAAAATAAGCCTTAGGGTGTCTTCTTAAGGAAAAATAAATATAAGACCTTGTCTTATTTTCGGGGAACCAAGGCACCTAAAGCAAAATATATAAAGCAAAATACACAAGGACTCCTAGGAGGTGCTGGAGTAGTAGCTGTACCCAGATCCAGGGCAGAAGGAACAGGGCGCAGGGGGATGTACAGTGATACGGTGACGTAACTACAGAGTCAGGCTGATGTCTAACTCAGCTGTTCACAAGGAGCGGTGCTGGGCTGCAGTGAGCTGGATGCTGTTACTGGTGGGATGAGGGCAGCCTGAGAAGAGAGTGGGCAGCAATGTCTGTATTTGGGTGAGGGCTGAGAGGCACCAGCAGTGGGATCATGGGCTCCAGGGAAGGCCAAGTTCAGATCATAGACAGGAAACGCCAGGACAGAACTGATGGAGGGAGGACAGGCCAGCTTGGGGCAGGAGAGGGTGTCCAGACCCCAGAGCTTGTAGAGGGCAGGGGGCAGATGCCAGTCCTCAGAAAGACCCATTCTGTTTGTCTGTTAATGATAAGAGCTGTCACAACCAACTACCAAAAAATCGTCCAAGCCGGGCGCGGTGGCTCACGCCTGTAATCCTAGCACTCTGGGAGGCTGAGGCGGGTAGATTGCTCGAGGTCAAGAGTTCGAAACCAGCCTGAGCAAGAGTGAGACCCCGTCTCTACTATAAATAGAAAGAAATTAATTGGCCAACTAATATATATATAAAATTAGCTGGGCATGGTGGCGCATGCCTGTAGTCCCAGCTACTCGGGAGGCTGAGGCAGCAGGACCACTTGAGCCCAGGAGTTTGAGGTTGCTGTGAGCTAGGCTGACGCCACGGCACTCACTCTAGCCTGTGCAACAAAGCGAGACTCTGTCTCAAAAAAAAAAAAAAAAATCGTCCAGCAAACCATGAAATGTTCAAATGTACCTTAATGTGAAATCATTTAAAGTGCTATTGGCAAAGAAAATATGAAAACACAATGAAAATGTTTATAGTAAGTATTAATGTCGTAATATTAAGTTTAGAAATATGAATTAAAAACTGAGATTTGGGGTCTCCATTCTGTTTGGAAAATAGGTGAATAAATACTCCTGGTGTGTCTGGTGATGTCCTCTCCAGGGGAGGGTTGTATGTGAATATAGAGTTGATTTTTTTGAGGCAGAGTCTCTGCTTTGTTGCCCAGGCTAGAGTGAGTGCGCGTCAGCCAACTCCTGGGCTCAAGCAATCCTCCTGCCTCAGCTTCCTGAGTAGCTGGGACTACAGGCATGTGCCACCATGCCTGGCTAATTTTTTCTGTATATATTAGTTGGCCAATTAATTTTCTTTCTATGTATAGTAGAGACGGGGTCTCGCTCTTGCTCAGGCTGGTTTCGAACTCCTGATCTCGAGCAATCCGCCCGCCGTGGCCTCCCAGAGTGCTAGGATTATAGGCATGAATCACCACGCCTGGCCTAGAGTTGATTTTTTTTCTTCTTTATTATTTCCATATACTATCCCAAATTTTCACAATAGGAGTATGCATTTTTTTTTTTTTTGAGACAGGGTCTTGCACTGTTGCCCAGGCTGTGAGACAGGGAACTGGCAGGTACTGCCTTGGGTGCGACATTGCTACAGGGGATGCCTTGGGCATTGCTTTGGGCACTGCAGCAGCAATACCTGAGTCAGGAAGTCTTAAGGCAAAGTTTCCAATTGCCCTGATCAAAACAGGATGGAGG